CCAGTTTTGACAGTTCTCATCTCAGATTTGCCACTTCCCAGGCTCCTTTGCACCAGATATCAGGGCAGACTCAGGGGATAGTCCCTGTCTGAGGAAACTCACCAGCAGATCCTGACCCACTATGGGGAAAGCCCAGAGTCACCACTCTGGGTCTGAGGCCTGGCCTGGCTCTGCATCCCCACATGACTATGGGCAAAGTATTCCCCACTCGGGACCTCAGTGTCCTCCTGTCCTCTAGGAATTCTGTGAAGTTTGGCCAAAGGAGGGAACAGAGTAAGGAGCCTCCCTGAAGCCTTCGCCCCGAGAGAGGAGCCAAGCTCTGGAGTGGGGAGATCACAGCGACCTTGGGCAGATCATCAGAATAGCACCTATCCTGGGTGTAGCATGCATTTGGACAGTAAATCGATGACCCAGGCCACTGTCCTGGGGCCTGTTTGCTCTGCTGCTAGATAAAGGCCAGGAGGGGCCAGGCGCCACAGGGATCGTGCAATAGGTAACATCCACCCACGCAGACATCACAGGGTGAGAACTCGTCAGGCACACCTCCTCGGCAGGCGTTGAGTTTGGCTAATTAAAGATTTTGAGGCCCAGGAATCCAGGCCACCATGGGGCCACTGCTTGTGTCAGCTGCTATGGAAGCACACCTCTCTGTCTCTGCATCAAGGTCCTTGGATCCACCAGGGCTCTGAGCCCAGCTTTCCTTCCCAGTGCTGAGGGATGAAGTGGGTCTGCAGCAGCATGCTGGCTACAGGAAGCCATCCACACTGTCCTTCCCTCCATCCTGTGGCCACATGGGCTGATGGAGGCACAGACCCCACAGAGCTTGCTGCTATGGCCCCTGGCTTCCTGTGCCTGGGTAGCCCTTACCTCAGCCCAGATCTCAGGGGAGAGGCAGCTGGCCTGGTTTAAGGGTTCTTTGTGGTTATCCCTGGGGCTGGCCCCAGGTCTAGCTCACCCATCTTTACCAATCCCCTTGTTGGCTGAGAGAAGATGCCCTCCCCAGACCAGCATCCCTTTGCCCACCTGCTTCTCCAGGCTTCAGAAGGAAAACAACCCCCTTGGAGAAGCTATCAGTCAACAGGGGAACTGGATTCAATGGACATGGCTGGACTGTATGTTCTCAAGGCACAGCAACAGGGATTGGTACAGAGCTGATTGCTGAGGTCAGGGGTCTAGGGATAGGGCATGTGGGAGGGTGTGCAGAACAGGGGAGAGAACTAAAGCAAACCCCTTGCCCCTTCCCCTGAACCACAACTCCAGATCCAACCTCGGCAGATCCAGTCTTCCATCCACCATTCCCCCACTGTCAACAACACTGAGTAAGTGGCTCGTGTGTGGCTGACACCTGGCTAGTACTGAGGGGGTGCATGCAGGACGGGGCACGTCCAGGGAAAGGAAAATGGTGCAGAATGCTGATGTGTTGGCCACAACAATCCTCATCCCCTAGCTCCCTGGCCACGTGCTTCTGTGTTCTGGGCATCCGGAAGTGTCTAGGAAGATCTGAGGACCCCAGCTGGGACCGGAAGATGGACTTTCCTGTGACAGGGTACATTTTCTAAACACCTAACAGATGTGTAGCATTGGGCCTATCCCCAGACACCTAGGCCTTCCCTCCTGCCCAACTCTGGACCCTCCTTGCTCAGATCGCCCCCAGTGGAAGCGGCAGTCGGAACCTCTTGGCTCAAGACCTGGCCAGAGCCTGCAGCAGCCCTCTCCTTCCACTGCCAGCCTGCTGAGAAGGACGTGCAGCCCGAGGCCCAGCTGAGGCAAAGGACAGGACATCACGTGCCTGTGGCCCCCCAGGGGCAGGGGAGACCCCGAGCCAGCCAGCCAATCCTCCTTCCTACTGACCCGGAATCCCCTGGAGGCGGCCAAATATTTGGACAGCCGGACTTCTGGCCCCAAAGAAAGCTGGAGCAGGGGCCCAGGGCAGCTCAGGACTCATTGGAGACCCTGATGGGGATGCTAAAGGCAAGGTCAGCCTGGGGAGAGGCGCCATCCAATGTCAGGAAGAAACAGAGAGAGGCAGAGGGAGGGAAGAGAGAGACAGGGAGAGAAAACATACACACATGTGTCCATGCATACTGATGCAGACCAAGAGACAGACAGAGGCACGGGGAGAGAAAGAAATGCAGATGGATACAGAGAGACGCAAACAGAGAAAAATATTGGTGGGTAGACACTCAGACAAGGAGACAGAAAGAGACAATCAGATCGGTGAGAGACAGAGACAGAGATGGCCAACCAGTTAGAGATAGCCAGATGGAGAAAGAGACAATGAGACAGCAAGAGACGGCAAGAGACAGCCAGTGAAAGACAGTGTCCCAGAGGGAACAAGACGCGGAGAGGGAGCCAGAGGTTCAGTTGAGGGGGGTGGCAGGCCCAGTGGGCACTGCAGGGTTGCCACAGCATTTCCATGTTCCTACAAGGGCAGGTTATGCCCCCATTAGCCAGACGCAAGACATCTAGAGGGTAGAACTGAGCCCACTAGGGCCACAAAGCCCAGAGCCCCAGAGTTCAGCACCCATCATTTTTCTGCTTGCACAATGGGAAACATACACTGAGATGACAGTCAGTCGAAGTGACCCTGTCCTCAGCGGCCACGCACGTGTGCAGACGTGCCGGCTGAGAGGCTGTGTACAGGACGTGGCCCGCAGAGCGGAAATTCAAAACCAAGCCACCCCAGGTCGCTGGCCGGAAAGCCCCTCCTGCCCCAGCAGCTGGTCCATCCCTTTGGCCCCCAGAAGCCCCGCCTGGTCCTCTAAAGCGCCCCCATCCTGCATCTGTCTTCTTATCCAAAGTCCAGCCCTCCACCCACCAGACTGAGAATGCACAGGGCACATAGTAGATACTCAGTAAAAATTAAGTGAATGGAATGAGTTCTAAGTTTTTGGCAAGCCACCAGCCCATTTCATCTACTCCAAGTGGCGCCTGGCTCCCTGGCCATGTCTGCACTAGAACATCTTCCAGCAGCGCCCCTATCCTGCTACAGTATAGGCTGCACATCCACCCCAGGTTGCAGTGCACACAGATGGCAACACTGTACCTCTCTTGCAGCCAGCCACTCCCCCAAAACATTTTTCCCCTCACACTGAGTCCCTGCAACCTACTCAGCCCAGACTTTCCGGGTGCACTCAGTTCAGCTCAAAAACCTTCCCCACCCCTACACAGAGACCATGAACCACCCAGCCTGTCCTGTTGTGTTTCAGTTTTTCCATTTGTCTGGGGATCCAAGGCTACTTGCTAGAGCAGCAGGCACCAGGACAAGAGCAAACAACTCTCATGGTCTGGCCACCTGGAGCCCTGGACTGTGAGTGTTTGTGACATGAGCCCAAAGAACTAGTACTGAACAAAGGGTGGCTTGAGAAGCCGGTGAGGACAGGGGTTCTATGGGCCCAGGCAGAACAAAGTTCTAAGACTTACACCCCTACTCTCCCCAGAAACAGTCCCTTGCCCCCAACTCCAGACCTCTTGGCAATGTGCCAGGCCTGGCCTCATCCAACCAGATTCCTCCCACCTTTGGTGCTTCCTGCAGGAAGCCTTCCATGGTTGTGCAGAACCTTCCCGTCTGGAAATGGGATTGTCCCCGGATTTCTCCAGCTTTCTATGCTCCACAGTGAGAATCTCAGAGGGATTTGCTTCCTTTCCAGAAGGAAGTGAGTCCCCATGCCAGACTGTACTTAAGAGGAAGGGCCTCTTTCAGGGACAGCACAGGGGCCCAAGGCAGTCATGTAAGGAAGGACAGGACTGGCAGGCTCAGGGAAGGATGGGCCTGGGTCACGGTGTCCCCCCACGGTGCAAGGACCTTTGACTTACTTCCTCTCAGACCTGTCCTAGAGCCTATACCTGGGCTCAGGGCTCAGGTTACTGTGGGGGAGAGGGTGGATTCCCACAGGCCCCGCCCCTGGCCTCCCCCTCCCCTGGTGTAAACAAACGCACGCACTGGCTGTGGCCAATGGAAGGGGCCAATCGGGCGGGGGCGGGCTCCCGCAAACCAAGGCAGGGTCTTTTCCCTCCGCCCCTGTGCGCATTGCCAGCTCTCACACCCGGTCGCAGAGCTCCGCCGAGAGGAGTGCAGACCGAGCCCTGCCCTCAGACCAGGGAGCCACACACACCCTGCGCTGGCCGTGCCCGCTGGCCCGGCTGCAAATGGCACGGGCTCTGGGACCAACATGTGCCCTGCGGCCCCTCAGGCAGCCTGGCCGTCTCTGCCCTCAAGCCCCTGCCTAACGCAGCGGGATAAATATACCCGGACTCCCGGCGTGCCAGCCGGGCCGATATGCTTGTCAGGCGCCCGTCGGGGCAGCGCTCCAGGGTCTGCTCCCGGGCCCTCTTACGCCCCCGTCCGGGACCCTATCGAGCCCGTCCAAGTGGGCCCTGCCTCGGGAAGTCCATGTCGTGCCACCCAAGCCCCCAACAAGGCGTCCTGCCGCCTCGGCCCCGGTTGCCGCCGACCTCCTGCTGTCCTGCCCGGCACTGTGAGAGGCCCCGAGACGACGAGGTGCCCCGCCCGAGACACCAACTCAAGCTCGGAGCTGAGTCTCGACTGGCGAGTCCTCAGACCTGCCCCCAAAGCGCAAGGGGCCGTGACTCCCCGGAGGCCAGGGAAGCTGCCCAGAGCCCGGCTCCGGACGCAAGAGTGGACAGTAGGGCTCCGCCCCCCTGGTGCCCCTGGGCGGGGGGTCGGCGCCCCCAGCGGTACCTGGCCTCACAGTTGGGGACGCGCGGTGCTCCGCTCCGGCGGGTGCTATCCGCTCTGCTCCCGGCTGAGCGCAGCGGCGGGGGATGAAGGGCGCCCGGCCCCGCCCCCGGCCCGCCCCCGGCCCGCCAATCCCCGGCGGCCCGCGGGAGGAGGGGCTGGCCGGGGAGAGGCGGGGGGCCCACGCGGGCCTGGAGCAAAGGGGCAGCTTGTGCGCTAAGGAGCCCCTAGGTAGGAGAGCAGCTGCTTCGGGAGGGGCTCAGTTGAGTCTTGTGGGGGAAATGCTTCAGTCCAAATCAGATTCTCTCTTGAGTCTCTGAGTGCCCCTTAACCCTTGAAATGCTCTGCCCTCACTTCCCTGAAGCCAGAAGAGGCTCTTCAGCCAAGAGGAGTGGGAAGAGGGCCACGTTTAACCTCAGTGACGGGTGCTCTGAATGGGGGAGTTTCAGATATCACTCAGGCACAAAATGTCTTTCTGCCTGCCTCACCCTTCCCAAGCAGAAATGGGATAGGGTGAGGACAGGGCCTCCCTCATCAATTCTTCTGTCTTCACCCCAGATATTCAGAAGAGATTGAGGGTAGACAAGGGTAGGGGCAATGAGGACGGGAGTAGAGTAAGGCCAGGCTCATGCTGAGCCCTGCCTGGAATCTCCCTGGCCATGCCCCCCCACCCATTTTCTTATTTCTAAGGAGTAGGAGGCAGCTGTGTCTGCCCATGGGAAGTGGGGCCTGGGAATTGGTGCCTTGGGGAAAGGGGTTGTAGGGTGGCCCTGTTTTTGGCTGGGGGCTCCTATCCCACTCCTGCCTCCTTCCCACCCAAGGCCGTGGTGCTCAGAGGTGGGAGTGGGTGTTAAGCCCTCCCACCCCAGGCACAGCCAGCAGGGAGCTGGGGGAGGTCTTGACCTTGGGGGTGAGCTGGTGGGGGGGATTCCCAGAACAGCTGTGTCCCTTGCTTCTCAGCCACTGGCTCTGATCCGATTAATCCCATGGCCTCTGCTGTTCCCAGCCACTGGATGTCTCTGTGTCATGTCTGCCCCCCTCCCTGGTGCTGGGGAGAATACCCTGGGAGGACTGTCCTCGCCCCTCCCCTGCCCTGGGCTGGGAGTCAGGACTCCAGAGTTCTCTTCCTACTGACTCACAGCACCACCACAGTCAAACCCTAGCTTACCTCAGTTTCCCTCTGTGTCACAAGGAAATGTTTCTGTCTTTTCATCTGGCCTGAGGGAGTAGGGGTAGGGGGAAGCTCTGAGTGCCGAGCCGGCAGGGGACTCGGTTTCAGCTAGGAGTGCAGAGGAGGGGCTGGGAGGACTAAAGAGAAAGGCATTAGGATGGTGCAGATCCTTGAAAATCTCAAACCATCCAAGCTCCTGCCCTGCTGATGGCCGAAAAATAGGAAGGGACGGGTTCTCCCTCTCAGTTTGGAGCTGGTGTAATCCCCAGATCACAGCTTACCTTGGCCATGAGAGACTCCAAAGGGGCTTGAGGACTGCCTATGGGACAGAGACAATAGGAGAGGCGCTGACCGGGTCTGACTCAGGTCTGCCCCCCACCTACCACCTCCAGACATCCTGGATGCTCACAGAAGCCATTTGCAAAGGGCTAGGAGCGCCTACTGGTAATTTCTGAGGAGTCAGGCATGGCTTCAAGTTCACCTAGCATGTGGGTGTTGGGGTCCTCAGTCCAGACTGGAGGGATCAGGGGCCAGCTGGGCTGGGCTGCTGTGGGAGGCCCAGAGGCAGTATGATGTGGGGTCCTGGGCCAGGCCAGTTGTGGCCAGGCTGAGAGGAGGAGCTGCCTGTTTGTTGATGCTACGGCCTGGGCCCCAGCCAGGGCAAACACAGCTTGGAGGCCTTTTCCGCCACCTGCTGAGTCTCCCAGCCCAGCCTGAGGTGGCTGGATGGCTGGCATCCGTTATGGGGCTATGAGAGGTACCGAGCACCTTCTTCCAGGGGCCAGAGAGAATGTCCACCCCCGCAGCTGCCGTGTTGGGGTCAGCCACCTGCGTCAGCCTTCAGCCCAGCCCCCTACCTCCACTCCCCCATCTCCAGAAATGGATACACAGGCCCAAGATGCTATCAGACATGTGAGGCAGAACTTAGGGTCCCAGGATCACTTGGACCCTCCTTCCAGGATCCTGGCAGCCCTTTGCTTTGCTTCTCTCTCTTTAGTCACATCTTCTCAGCTTCCAGCTAGGCAGTCTCCTCTCACCATGCCAGCCCCTCCCCTGGCACATCACCTACACAGTGCCCCAAGACCCTCTCTGACAGTGAGGCCCCATCTTCACCTCCAACCCAGATCCTAGCATCTGTATCCACTGACTCCTCAGACCCCCTGCAGGCACCTGCCTCTCACCCAGCTGGCCTCCCTGACATCCTCCCGACCTGCTCCTCATCCCAGTTGGCATCTTCACCTCCTCTGCTGCCTGGCTGGCCGCATACATTCCTGCTGTTTGAAGAATGTGCCAGCCTTCAGCTCCCTGTGCTTCTGCCCTCCTGGTTCCCCATCGTGTCCCACCTCCTTGGCGAATTCTCACTTGTCCCTCAACACCCAAATAGAAGATCAGCTCTGAGAACCCAGCCTGACTCCCAGGAAAAGCTGGCTCTTCCTAGATGTACTGCGACTGCTCTGGCCCTCCCTGCACTCAGCCCCAGCCTCAGTGTCTCGGAGAGCTCTGTGTGGGACCTCTAGACAGGAAAGCTCCTGCCAGCTTAGAGCATGTGGATCAGGAAAAGCCTGATGGAGGAGCAGTCTGTGGGCTTGACTCTGCCAAGGCAAAGAAAGGCCCCTGCCAGCGTGGGGAAGAGAGGGCACTGTGGATGGAAGAAATGGCTTTGCCACAGGGAAACTTGAGTGTGAGTGTGGGATGAGCACCAATAGGTGGAGGGCTGTGTGCAGAGGCAGGACCCTGGACTGGAGTCATGTGGAGGGCTTTCAAGGCCTCACAGGGGAGGGTGGTTCTCACCTCCACACCCACAGCTTCTGACTACACTCTGCCCAGTTTGGTATCTGGGAGGCTCCTCTCCGCATGAGCAGAGGTTTAGAGGTATGGAAGTAGAAAGGGGACCCACAGGCAAGCCCTCTTGTCTAGTTCTCCCCTGGCCTGTGTCCCCAGAACTGCTGGTGACCTCTTGGCTGAAGCCTGGCCCCCCGTCCCAGAGGGCCCTCCTTTTCTCTCCTGAGAGCTGGCCCCCAGCTTCTGTGGCCACTGAAGCAGCTTAATGAGCCCAGGGCACATGGGCCATGCCACTGCCTATGGGGAGGGCTCAAGCCCCCAGGGCCACCCGACCAGGTCCTGACATCAGCAGCATTAACCATCCGCCAGGCCTGTCTAATTTCTGGTCGGTGGCCAGGCCAGGTCAGTCCCACCAGAGCCAGAGTTGAAGGCCGAGAAGATCCCCACCTGGAGGCTGAGGTCAGGCAGGGAAGTTAGTGGCTGGAGGTGACCACAGTAAACACCCCTCACCTCCAAGACTAGGGTGTGGCTGCCGCTGGGCCAACTCTGGGCCAGTTCTCTCTGATCCTCCACCCTGGACTGTGAATCAGGCATTGGGCATCCATTGATCCTGCTCCTTATGCTGTAATTATACCAGTGTGGTGATTGGGGCTGGGGAGGCTTTGGGCCGGGAGACTCCGAGGCAACCCTATGATCCTTGCTGCCCATAGACAGGGCAGCTTGAGGCCAGGCAGCGTCCCTAGTACATGGGGTCCAAGAATGTTGGTCTTTAATCCCAGTCCCTGGGATCAGAACCACACTTGGAAAGGGACTCACTGGAGCGTGGAGTCCAGCCTCTGCCTAGTGTTTGACCTTCTCTCTGTCCCTTCCCCAGAGAAGGCTGGGGAGATCATTACTTTCCTTGCAAGACACAGTGGCTTCGCGGAAGACCCCAGTAGCCCACCTCTCCTGACAGCTTCCTACGTCTCAAGCCTGCCAGCTCCAGCTCCTCAAGGCCACCATCTTCTGCCTTGAGCCTCCCTCTAAAATCTCTCCATCACTCTCACCTGCGCCACCTCTCACCAGTAAACTGGGCAGAGGGTCCTGAGTAGGGATGAATAACCCTAACTCAGCCAGGCCCCAAACCATCCAGTGGAGGTCCTGAAATACTGGCCTGAGACCCATGCTCCCCTCAGGCCTCTGAACAGCACCACCTTGGCTGACCACGTGTCCTGGGCTCCCTAACCCATCCCGTGTCTCCCCCAGTCTGTGCACAGGCCTGAGTACCCTCACTCTCCCCTTCCAGCCCCCTTAGGCTCACAGCGCCACTCTCCACCTGGACATTGAGGATGCTGCCCATTTGCTACCTTCAGCCCAGCCGCAAGGATCTGTCTTACTTTTGGACATCTCCCCCAAGTGGCCACCGGCCCAGAAAACTCAGTCCCTTCAACAATCCTCTGTAATCCCAGCTCGGTGGAGGCATCACATGCACAGATCCAGACCCCTGTCACTGAGTCCCATTCCTTGCTGATACTGGCCCCATGGGGAATGAGGACATAAGTCTCTTCCTCAGGGATCCCATAGCCCCATCCTCTCTCCTCTCTTCCCCATGCCCCGCCCCCAGGAAAAATGTGTGCCCCTATACATGTGTTTTTATGAAAATTTTTAATGACTTTTTTTTCTAGAAGCAGATTTGGAAAATATCATTGAAGATTTTATTTCCATTCAAGCCAGGAAAATAATATTATAAATTTTGTTTTTGGTAGAAATAAAATAATTAAGCTTAAAGTCATGTTGTGAGTTTTCATATAACTACTTTCAATTTTTTTCAATGTTTTTTCCTCTAATGTTCTGTTAAAAAAATTAACCTTTAAAACTGCATAAAAACATATATAGGGTTGGACATTTTTCCTTTTGCTTCAGGATCCAAGATGGCTCTCCAGGGCTCACTTGGATCTTTATTTAAAATTTGGATATTTTGTTCATCATGGATTTTTTTGGTAGTAATTTTGATTTTTAAAATACTTCAGTAATATCTATCTAAATTACTGAATCTTTCAACACCACCCTAAATTTTGCAGCTGAAGTGAGAGCCTCACTCCTGGCCCTGCAATTATGTCCTAGCTTCGAGGGCTTCCTGGACCCATCATCTTCTGCAGGAAGCACAGGCCCTCAGGCTGGCACTTGGCACCTGCCCACTGTCTCCCCACGCCACCTCCCCTTCCTCGCTCCCGCTCCATTGAACACTCATGGCCCACAAGCCCATGATCCTGGGCCTTCTACACCCTACTGCCTCTGCTGGAATGAGCTTCCACCTCGCAATCCCCTCTTGATACAAGACCGTCCCTGTGAATGTTTCCCACGACTCCTCAACCCCTCTCAAGAGGCACAAGTTGATCCCATGCCCCAAGAGTGCCCCTGCCAAGTCAGGTCAGGTGCCTCTCTCTGGAAGGGACCATCTTCCCACTTATGTCCAGCCGGCACTGTGCACTTAATAAATGCCCATGAGTCGTGATAATGAATGCTCTCCCCCTCCCCGTAAGAAAGGACAGCTGGGGCCTGATGCAAAGGTTTATTGCTGAGTCTGTGCATCTAGCTGAAGGGAGTGCGAATTATGCCCTGGCCTTGCTAGACAGGAACTCCTTGTCCTTGTGCAGCACAGGCCCTGGCCCGTGGGCATCAGCAAGGACTCAGTGCTTGATGGGGAAGTAAGGAGGAGGGCTGTGGGGACATGGGATTTGTCCCTGTTGGCTCAGACATGGCCCTCAGTTTCTCCCACCGGGGAATGGGCCCTTAATGGGAAGGGTGAGAGAAACTGCTGGCAGGGACAGGAGGGCCACCTGAGTTTGCTTGTGACCCAACCTGAGGTAGACTCCTCTGGGCACAACCTGGGCCTCCTTCCTGTCTCAAATCCTCTGTCTCGGACTGATCGATGGGACCCGGACTCTGCTCCCAGCCACCCCTCAGGACAGTTTGACCATTGGCCACAGCGGTGTCAACAGTACCCTCCCTCAATAGATCATCCCCTTGGCTAGCCAGCCTGGAGTGCTGTGGGTGGGTGGATGAGGTAGGCTATGAATTCAGTGTCCGAGGATGAAAGGGGCAGAGCCTGTGGGGGAGGAGGTCAGGGTATGTGGGGAAGGGTCCAGCTTGAATATACGCCTGGCACCCAGGGGCTCCCAGGCCTGCCCCTACTCACTAATTCATCTATGTTCAATCTACACAGGCCACAGCTGGCTTGGACTTTGGACCCCTGAAGCTGCTGGGCGGGGCAGTCACTAGCCACTGGGTAGGCAGGTGTCAGACTTGTCACATGGAGGTGGTAAGGCTAGAATGGGCTGATGGTAAGCAGCAGGACTGCGTGGAGGAGGGTTTCCTGCCTGCCCTACTGCCCTTTATGAAACTCTGGGAGGGAGGGCTGTTTGCTGAACCCAGACCCACCAGGTGAATCATGGACCTCCTGGAGCAGGAGAGCCACAGGAGATTGGTCAGTTGGACACTGCTGAGTCACCATGAGCTCTAGCTGCCCCAAGTGCTGCTTGTTTCTAGCTGAGGCTGGCTATGGTGGGTTGTGGAGGCCAGTGCAGCCAGGCCGTGAAGGGCAGCACTAGGGGTGGGGGTGCCAGGCTCCGGGAGACCTGGCAGTCCTGGGAGCCATGGGGGAGGGTTAGGGCCTCAAGGCTAGCGGGGCTCAGGGCTTTGGGTCTGTGGCTGGTGGGGCCATAGCCTGGGGCCCAGGAGTCCTGGGGGCAGATTGGGTCCTGTGGACCAGGGCTACAAGGCGGCTAGGTCTACAGAATCTCAGGGGTACGCATGAGTTCTGGTACCTGTGAAGAGAAAAAGGAGCAGAGTCAACATTATTAAGCACTAAAATAATTGGGTTTAGGCTGAGAGCGGCAGGAAGGTGGGCTTGGAAGCAGTAGTACCTGGAGGGTTGTGGAGGGGTCAAAAGGGATTGATTGGGTGGGGCTTGTGAGCAGAGGGTAGGGGCCAGTGGCAGTGGGGTGGAGCCTGGTAGCAGTGGGGTCTGGGAGTTGGGGGCCAGACTACAGACAAGTAGAGTGGCTCTGGAAAGCTGGGTATGGGCCTGCTGTTGAGAGATGGGGTGGCAAGCTGGGAATGAGGCTTGGAGTATTGGGATTAAGGGGCACGACGACAGGGGAGCGTCCTGGCCCGCGAGGAAGAGCCACCTCAGAAGAGGCCACAGTCTTTGAGGTTCTCCTTGATGATGATGTCAGTGACGGCGTCGAAGACAAACTTGACGTTCTGTGTGTCGGTGGCGCATGTCATGTGAGAATAGATCTCCTTCACGTCGCGTCTCATGTTGAGCTCGAGGAACTGCACTTTGATGTAGTTGCCGGCGTCCTCATATGTGTTAGGCCCTGGCGGGAAAGATGGCTCTCACTCTGCCCCAGATCCTTCCTGCGGTGGGAGGAGAGCTGGCTGAGATAGTGGGGTGGGGGCACCGCCTAGCAGCAGATTGAGGGTCTCACCGTTATAGTCGGGGAAGCAGATGCTGAGATGAGCCTTTTTGATCTTCTCAAAGAAAACGTCCTTCTTGTTGAGGAAGAGCACGATGGACGTGGTAGCGAAGTAGCGGTGGTTGCAGATGCTGTTGAAAAGGTGCAGGCTCTCGTGCATGCGGTTCTGAGGAGGGCAGAGGCTGTCGGGCACCGGAGAGCAGCGGCCGCCACCCCTACCTGGCCGATCCCTGCTCTCTGGGCTCTGAGGCCTCCCCGCCCTCCAGGACAGCTCCAAGACTGCCTCCCATTTAGCCCCCCTGAGCGGAGCTGCAGGTTGCCTAGTTTCCTCCTTCAGACCGCTCTGGGACATTCGCGCCTACAAGGCCGTCTCCGCTTTCCGCTGTCCACTTCCTGGCTTTAACGCTCAGGCCCTACTGGACACTCACCACTTCATCATCCTCCACCAGCACCATGTCGTAAGCGCTCAGCGCCGCGATGAAAATGATGCAGGTCACACCTTCGAAGCAGTGGATCCACTTCTTGCGCTCCGAGCGCTGCCCGCCCACATCGAACATTCTGCAGAGCCATGGGGATCTTAACCTGCGCCATCGAGCCCACTGGACGCACCCACAGGCATCCCCTCCTAATGCTAGCTGGGAGGCACCCAGATGGGACTGGCATCCAGCAGGGCCGGGCCTTTCTGTAGGCGGGGTGTCTGAGAAGGGGCAGGGTCTCTAGCCACTGGGCCTCAGGCGGTGAACTTGTAGGCAGGCCCCCAGAGACAGAGCGAGGGCACGGGGTCATACCGGAAGTTGAGGTCCTTGAAGGAGAACTGTGTCTCAATGATACCCGTAGTCTTGACACGCGAGCGCAGCACGTCTTGTTCAGTGGGCACGTAGCCTGGGGTTACCAGGCGCTCCAGGTCCGAGAGGTAGCTGCGAAAGACCCCGGGTGTGGGTAGGGTTGCGTGGATGGGTGTGTCAGGGCCCCGCCCACACCCCTGCACCCGGCCTGCGCTCTCACTAGCCCGCAGAGTCGTTGAGCTGGTACTCCGAGGCACGCTCAAAACAGGCCTGGATACCCGAGTCCTTCCACAGCCGCTGGATGATGTCTGACATCTCCTTGGGCATCGTGCCCTCCTCGATGGTGTCCGCCATGTGCATCAGCTTCCGGGCATCGTCCTGGGGGAAGGGGGAGTGGTTGGTAGTGACTTGGGCCCAGCCTCGTGCCTCGAGTCCCCAGAGGCCCTGTTGAACCCGCCTCTTGGCACACCTGACGCGCAGAGTCTCCATACTGGATGTTCAGTGTGGTCATGGCACGCACTATGGCCAGGATAGACTGCAGCGTATTGCCATAGATGATGGCAATGAACTCGAGGCACTCTTCCAGCGAGTACCCATCCTGATGGATGATCCTACGGGCGGGAGGAGTTGGGTCAGCTTATCTTGGGTAGCTGGGGTAGGACAGACCCCGTGCTTGCGTATGCCCACCCCCAGGGGCCCCCAGGGGCCTCCATAGGGCAGAGGCACTCACTTCATCTGCTTGACAATGGTGCTCTTCCCGGACTCACCGGCACCTGAAATGGAAGCCCTGCCTCAGAGCCACGCTGACCGCACCACTCCTTTACCCCATCAAAAAAAAAAAAAAGACCCACAAAAAACCAAGGTCTGCAAGATGGCTAGGGGACCCAGAGCACTAGCCCAACCCCCAAAACAGTTCCACCTGTCTTCCCCCCACCCTCCAAAATAAAGTACTGGCACCCAGGCAGAAAAACGTTTGTAAATGTCAAGGGTGACAGAAAGGGGCTGACGAGGGGAATCCAACTGTGCTGGGGAGCCTCCAAGACTGGTATACCGCAGTCGTTAGTAGCCTGAGACCAAAATAAAGAAAATCTGGAGCGCCACCTTGTGGAAAATTCTGGTACTGCATGCAGGGATTATTTGAGCCAGGTCAACCCCTGCTTTTCACCTCGGGTGGGAGGGTGTGTCTCCTAGAGGCTCAGAAGGAATTAGTGTCTTTGGGTTGGGGAGAGGACAGAGCTGACAGCCCCTCTGAGCCTACTCTCGTGTGGGCGTTGGGCACAGTTAATGAGATTTCCGGCTTAGCCTTTCTGTCTTTCCTGGGGTACTCTAGCTTGGCCCCTCTGCCCTCATCCAGCTTCTGACTGGACACCGGAGAGCCTGGGTAGAGCCTGCAATTCCCTCTCAAAGCAGCTCTTTCTTCCACTTGGAGGGAGGCAGTGGCCTTGAGGCACTGGATCTGCACCATCTCCCCTCACTACCCAGGGGACCATGGACATGGCTTTATCTGTTCCCCACTGGGTCTTACTATCCCTCTACCCTCTTTAGCTGCTCCGCAGATTTTCCAACAGTAAAGCCCTGGAAACTGAGGGCCATTGTCCTTGGATCTAGGTGGTCCTAGTTGCTGCTCATTCAGAACTGTGATTTTCTCCTTCCCAAGGGAGCCTCCCAAGGAGGCCCCTGGTTTCTAAGCTCTGCCCCGCAGATCCATCAAGCCAAAGGCTAGAGTTTGAGGGAGCCCAACCAGGGCAAAAGTGTGCCTCATACATACACCTCTACAAAAGCATGGTTGGCACACACTGCTTAGAAGGGGAGGTCGCCTGAGGCTGGGCTCTCCGGAGAGGGGTTCTGGGGGATCCCCAACCTTAGGAAGCCAAGGTATCACCAAGGCAGACCTGACTCTGCTTGGCCAGGGCTCCCACTCTGTTCCCTGCCCGGTTACAGGCTCATTCTGTTTCCCAAATCACCCCTGCTTCAGAAAAGGGCCACCTGCCTACCCCTAGGCCTCTGACTGGTGGCAGTGGCCCCACCTGGGCCCACACCCCTACCCAGAAGCAGCAGTTTCACGGTTCGAGCATCCTTCTCCGCATCTTCTTTCAGCTTCTTTTCCAGCTCCCTTGAGTGCTTCTCCTCAGCGCTGGCCCCAGCCCCCATGATCCCAGCAGGAGGCGAAGGAACAAGGTGGTCAGTTGGCTCTTCTGGATGGAGGGGCTCCCCAGAGCCAGGCTCAGGCCAGCCTCTGGCCTCCCCGGACACCCTTCTGATCCCAGAACTGGCAATCAACTGGCTGTCCACAGACCTGGGCAAGCCCTGTTGGGGCTGCTTAGGGGGATTTGAGGGTTGTGGGTACCCAAGAGCCAATCAGAGACAAGGACAGGTGAATCCAGCTCAGCCCCCAGCCCTTCTAATCGGGCTGGCATGGCCCCAATCCCTCAACTGCTGACTCTGCACCCCCTCTACACTGCTCCCCAAACCCTCTGAGAGAGACCCTGAAGTCAGTCCAGCCCCTGCTCCAGAGCAGGGAGACCTGGGTCCAGGCTCAGAAAGGGGAGGATAGGGCCTCAAGTCCGGGGGTGGGAGAAGTGGGGGGTGGGCCTGGCAGCAGGGAGAAGGAGGAGAAGCCCAGCCCAGCACTGGGCTCAAAACTGCTCCTTACCGGCCATAGGGGATGGGTGCCCCCCATCTTTAACCCCATTTTACTGAAGAGGAAGTGAAGGCTCAGAGGGTCACACAGCAGGAGGTGGTTGAGAAGGGCTGAGTGATTCTGGACCAGGGCTCCATGCTTCACAGGGAGTCAAGAGGTAAAGGTGGACATCACGTATGCCCTGTACTGAAGGCTGGTCTCAGCTGGGCAAGGCTTCTACATGCCTCTATGATTCCAACGGACTTGGGTGGGCGTGCATGTCTGCTACCTGTACTGGGTGTGTACATCTGTCCTTTACTGGCACCGAGCAAGGCAGTGACATGACACGTTTGTGTATATTGTGTGTACACATGTGCCTGTGTGTTGTGTCTATGCTTACCTGCTTGTTTACCTGTGTGTGTGTGTGTGTGGATATACTTTTGTGTATTTCTCTTCATGTGCAAGTGTTTGTATGTGGACTTCGCTGTGCTTATCTGGGTTAACATATGCATGTGTGCATGAATGTATAAGTCCCTGAACATGCAATGCACATTAGTGTGCTCTTGCCTGCGTTTGCCTGTGCGTATGTCAGTGTGTCTGTATGCATGAACATCTATGCACGTATCTGCCTGTATGTGTGCATGCTTGCATGTGCCTGTGCCTCTGTGTACACTTGTACTTGAGTGTAACAGTCTCTGATCTGCAGAGGTGACCAGGCTCTTCCAGGGGATGTCCTGCAGGCCTGTTGTCAGATGGGGAACCTGAGTCCCAGAGCAGGTCTGGCGCTCCCAGGGGCATGGAGGAGTGGGGCTCATCTGCCCTGCTCTTCTGTCTCCTGGTGGGGCGCTGGGACCTGCCTACAAGTATCTCTAGGGCACACCTGACTCAGCTCTGGGATCTGAGGTCTGTGTGTGGGTTCAGATGGGGCCGGGTGTGCTGCTGTAAGGGGTTCAACTGAGCATGTAGTGTTGAGTTCCCACCTCTGGAGATTTGCTACCCACCTCCCTGAGCCACCTGGCTGGACTCCTCGGAAGTCTGGCTGCCTTAGTACTCTTTTGCCGACCTAAGAGACCACAAAGGGGTGCCAGGGCCCCAGATATTGAGCATTGAAGACTGTCCCTAAACGTGTGGGAAGTGGATACCAGCTCCATGAGCTGTGGCTTCAACATATACCCTGTTGGGTGTGGGGGTATCTGTCCAGGAGCAACAGACAATTTGTGCCACTTTGAGACTTCACGTTCCATTCATCCTCTGCCTGCCTTCCAACTATGTTGTAAGTGGGCCCGAGAGGTTTGGGAGGGGGTCTCTGAAGCCCCCTACACATTGCCCAAAGGTTTGGGGTGGTACAGGAGCTTAGGTTTGTTAAACCAACAAAAACCTGGTTTCTACATATTGGGTTTATTTAAAAGGGGACCATTCCACTGCCTCCCAGTCCCCACCTGGTTCCCCTTGCCTGCCAGGTATGGCCCTAAGCCCTGATGGATCCATGAGCCTTCCGGCTCTTAAATTCCCCTGCCAGGGCTTAAATTCCATTTGGCCCAGGGCCCATAGCCCCACCTCTTCCCCTCTAGCAGATTCCACCTCTCCTGGTCTTCCTGACCTCTGGACATTTGCTCCTGCTGGTCCCTCTGCTGAGAGCTGGCTAGAAGGAGGCAGGAAGCATGGGAATTCTGCTGATTCTCAGGGCAGAGACCACTGAACTGTGAAGGCTATGGCTTTGTCTTGCCAATTCTGAGTCCTTAGTGCCCTGTGGGACACAAAGCCAGGTGAGAAAGTGGTGTGAACAAATGATCAAACCACTGAATGAGCGAATAGAAGCTGGGCTTGCAGAAGATATCGTGGGGGGACTGGTAGCCAGGCCACATTGTCGGGGGAGGGAACAGAAGAGACAGAACTTGGGTGTGGGCTGAACCCCATCCTCCCTCCTCTGCCAAGGAGAAAGCCAAAGTCTAATCCCAGAGCCAGTGTTTATTAGCACGATGGAACCCCAGGAAAGGTGTGGCCTGGGCAGCAGAGGGCCACCAGGAGCCCCCACCCACCTACCCAACTGCCCTTCAGAGCTATTTACACCCATCATCTGAAGTGGTAGGCAGAAGGGAGCCCTGGGAGCCCCTACTGGCCCCAGGCCTCCATCATGGCTCCCTTCCCCCTCAGCCCTGCCCACACCTGGCCCCTCTGCTCTCCTCCCAGTCCCATCACGGTGGCACAGACAAAAAGAGGAGGTAGAGTAGCCAGACAGGGAGGGAGGGGGACTGGAGGTGCTGCCCCACCCAGGTAGGGCTCCTCTCCTCCTGTCCCCAATAAATAAATACCCAGGAAGGGGCTGGCCTTGACTGAGTGCCCCTCTCCCAGGCAGGGGCTGGCATCCTGTGACGGCCCCGTCTTCCCTTCTCTGAGTACATCTGAGCCCCCACCCCCCACCCCCAGTCTCCAAAACAGTCCTCGCATCCACGTCTATGCCGACGGCGCAGGCTGACAGCACACACTGGCAGAGGTGTCCAGTCCATGCCCCATCCAGGTAGAGCTCGCTCCCTCCCCGTGTCCGGCAGATCCTGGCAGTGGCTGTTGAGCAGGTAGACTCCCAGCTGAGCCTGGGGACTGTGGTCCTGGCCTGGCCCTGCCAACTGGCTGGGGCTGGTTAGGTGGGCTCCATTTTCTGTCATCTCTGACCAGCATGGGTCTAAGTTTTGGACGATGCTGCCGCTGAGGCAGACTATTTACAACCCACCAATAAATACTGTCTTTGCAGGGGCAGGGTGTGTATAGAATATAGATATTTATATATATATATATATATCTTTTATATTAAAAGGGACAAGGGCTAGGCTGGCCCATTGCAGGGCTGACAGCAGGCCTCATGTGTCCGGCGGGTGGTGGCGGCGGTTCCGGGGCTTTTTCTGGTCCTGGGGTTCAGGAGGCCTGGGTGCCCCCCGGGGCCTCCCTGGGGCTGGGAGGCACGTGGCGCCAGTAGCCCTGGCAGTACTGGTGGATGAGGCCCACTTCCGGCTGGGCCAGCAGCTGGGCCAGCTCCTGGTAAGGGGGTGTTGGGAGGCCGGCGCCTGGGGGCGGTGGGACGCTCACAACTGGCGGTGGGAAGAGGGCAGCATGGACGGCATCTCGGCCCAGGACATGCAGCTGTACCCGTGTGATGACATGCTTGAAATTGTTCTCGGTGGCTGTACAGGAGTAGAGCCCTCGATCACCAAGCTGCAGGGCACGAAGCAGCAAGCCCTGCTCTGTGCGCAGGAAGCGGTCCTCTGCACGAATCTGCAGCGGCAGGGAGTGGGGCTCAGGGGTGGCGTGACCACCCTGCTGCCCCAGCCAGCTCCCAGATCAGACCACCTTTTCGGCCACCCAATATAGGAGCACCCATGTGGAATTTCCATATACCAAGAAAAGCCCCCATGAATTTGCCACATAACATCTGAATAAGGCACATAACATCTGAGTAATACATGCACTTCCGTTTAGGGAGGAATGACCCTTAGGGGGTTCTGTACAATGAGAGAATTCTGGAGCATACACACAATTTCTATTTAATGAGAATAAATAGATATTGGGACACCCTTGCAGAACTTGGACACAAGAAGGGATTGCCTAGGAGGTATTTCTGTAATATGAGGGCTGCCCCACAGAATTTCCATGTGCTGGAGCTCACCCATGTGACGTTTCCCTACAATGTTACCACACTGATATACTTCCAATGGAATACACATCTGGAATTTTCAGATAAATGGGCATGCCTACAAATGGTTTCCATATAATATGGAAACCTCACAGAGTTTCCATATAACTGGATTCACCCAAATGATTTTCGTGTAGGAAAGGGAGCATGGAAGGCCTTTCTTAGGATGAGGGGTGCCCTAGATGGGTTCCTCTACCACCTTTCACCCACGTGGAATTTCTATTGTATAAGGGACTCCCGCAGCCATGGTAAGGACTACGGGGCACGGGAAATCACCTCACGGCGCCGGTCACTGGGATCTCGCTGGAACAGCCACTTAACAGTGGCCTGGGGTGAGCGGGGCTGGCACTCAAGGAAGGCTGCGCTCCCCGCCACGCCGTACTGCACAGACTCCACAGCGTTCTTGTTGGCTGTGGAGCAAGAGAGTTCTGCGTGAAAGCAGCCCAGCCTCTGGGCAGACTGCAGGCTGGCAAGGAGCATATACAGGGACACCCACCCAAACAGGCAGGGATGTGCCATGAGGGGGGTGGCTAGGGATATCGCTTCTCCAAAACCCCTCTCATCCCCTCACCCCCACGGACCACGGAAGAAGCCTTCTAGCAGGGGCCCGTGGGCAGCTCCACGCCAAGGAGTGCCCAGTGGTGAGACACAGCACACTCACCGTTGGAGTTGAATCCACGGCACTGCCTGATAGGGTTCCCATGCCGGACGTCCTGCCGGCGGCTCCGCCTGGATGAAGATAGCTCCTGAAGGAGTATTCCAAAGAAAGCTTGCCCCCTCCCCGTAGGTCCCTCTACCCTCAAAACACCAGGGTAGGATATCTCATCCATAGTCTCTCAGGGTTATATCACATCCACTTCCAAACCTCCAGGACAGGGCCATGGCCAAAATTCCAAGGGTCTGGGGGTCCACACCTCTTAGAGGATGCTGTGTAGCGGGAACAGGCCTGGCCATCCCAGGCGCAGTAGGGGTCCCGGGCGAGGCAGCAATCGGCGCAGGCAGCCCCATATGCCTGGCAGCGGTGCAGGCTCAGGTGTGTGACGCCCACAGCTGAGGCCACGTATAGCTGTTGCTGTGGGCAGGGGTAGGGGCTTGTCAGTTCCCTCCCCACAGCCAGCCCTCCTAGGGAGCCAGCTGGGCCAGGCTGCTCCCTTTCCTGTTCTGTGCCTCAGGGCGGACCCACCTCTGTGCCAACGGGATGACCCCAAGGGGAAGCAGGCTCCATCCCCATCCCCAGCCCACCTCGCTAAAACTCACCCTCTTGGAAGAGATGGTCATGGTCTTAACGGGTGCTGGGTCCTAGAAGAAGATAGGCATCAGCTCATGACCCTAGGGACCCCTCTCTGTCCTAACCAGGAGGTCTGAGGTCAGGAGCTGGTACCAAGGAAGGCCAGAGTGAGGAGGACAGGACTGGGTGGTGTCACACCCACCTTGAAGACCTCCACCTCCTCTAGCATGAGCTCTTCCATCTCCTGGTCATCTTTAGGCAGCACAATCACCTTCTGCACTGTCCCGCGGTCTGGAACGGGCCAGGCAAGGCCTCAGTAGGGCTGAGGATGCTGGGAAGGGGCACCAGCCTCAGCCCCTTCCCCCACCAGGGCCCAAACCCCCAGGGGCAGTGGAGCAGGAGTTCTGTACCAAGGATGAAGAGTTGTCCCAGAAGAGGGGAAGGGGTCTGAGGGGCTGGCCCAGGATAAAGGGGAGTTTCAGCTAGAGTCCAGCCTTCCGACCCCAAGCCCTCATTCTGGGAAGCTGAGAATGGGATGTTGGAGGTTTTCTTCTGTGTTGAGGGCTACTGAACAGCAGCGGGGGCACTTGGTGTGTGCACACAAGAGCATGTGTGTCAGTATTTGGACCCATGTATCCTGGAGGCATCTGCCATCTTCCCCCTTTTCCTGCTCACATGAGTCCCCAGGCACCCAGTCCTGGCCACCAGGGATGGGGTGGGAATGGGGTTTCCCCACCCCTGCTCTCAGTTGTCCTGGTCATAGTGAAAGCTCCAGAGGATAAAGATGGCAGAGTTGACCTTGACAACCCCGACCAACCCCTGACCAGGGTAGTCCCAGCCCCTGGATCAGCACCCTCCACCCAGTGGGCCCAGCGTGGGAGGGGCCGGGAGCAGCAGTGGGTACCTGTGCCCAGGAAAAGCACCTCATAGCGCCCATCGGCTGCATCCACCTGGTCCACGGCGACAGTGGTGAGACGGTAGGGAGCGCCTGTGCGGACCACCAGGGGCCGCCGCTGCAGAGGGTACACGGCCTGGTACATGAGTGGGTGGCTGCGCATGAAGTTGATCACTTCATCAGGGTAGTCCTTGGTGGACTTCATGGATGGTGTGAAGGTTCCGCCAGGGCACTGCGGGCAGGTGATGAGCGTTAGGCCCAGGCCACCTGGGTGGGGCCTGCTGGACCCATTCACTTCAGAAGAGGTCTCTGATCTGTCTGTCTGTCTGTCTGTCTGTCCCCACCTGCCCCCATGCTCTGCTCCTCTGAAACCCCATCCAGACTCTTGCCCTATGTCCAACCTCTCTGCAGGTTCTGCTCCAGCCAAGGTCCAAGGTCCCACATGGCCAAGTCCCAAGGCCATGTCCCCGGCCTCATGTGCCATGACCTTGTGGCAGCATTTGGTAGAGCCTACCAAGGCCTTTCTAGATGCTCATCCCCACCCACTTGTCTCCTTCCTCTCTAGCTGTTCTTCCGGCCCCCTCCCCCCACCCCACCCCTACTCAGCAGGACTGCAGGCCCTGAGCTCCTTTAACACCCTGGGCACATGATCAGATCACGCTGCTCTCCTGTTTAGACTCCTGCACTGGCTCTTGTCACACCAAGATCAGGTGAATCGCCTCCCACAGCTGCAGGGGCTTCCACCCACCCCCACTTTCAGCCTGCCTCCCAGCTTTTGCCTTGAAGACTCTTCCCTACAACTTTCACCCCCAGAGCAGCCTGCCACACCCAGCCCACCACCTTTGTTTCAGGATCCCATCTGGGTTCTTTCACAGCCTGACACTGTGTGTAAACGATGGAGGATTTTTTGGTGAGCTTTATTCTAACTGCAGCTTTATTGAGGGTAACTGGTGAGTTTATACGTGTATATGGGCCACCTCTCCCA